TTTAACAAAAGAACATCCCGGTCAAAGCCTTAAACCATGTTTGGCGGGAAGACCCTGCCAACGCGTATCGGGTGCTATTTCCCGGGGTTAAAGAGGCTGGGACATGAATCTGACTACTCGATTCCATTAGTATCGATATTGGGATGTACGAATCTCTACGTCCATTCCTCTTTGTGCCTTCATAGCGAGGTGCTTAATTAAAAAGCAGGCAACTATTTATACTATGAGAAGGCAATTACTACGGCGCAAGGAGAAATTCGTACCTGTTCATCCACGTTTCATCTTCGACACTAATGAACGAATTTAGATTAAATTTCGTATTGGATAAGCCTACTACTAAGAGCCATTGTGCGAATTGCTGCTGGATCGGTCCATCATCACCTTTACCTTACAGGGAGATCAAAAATAAAACGTAATCTAGGCGAGAATAAGGATGTCTTCCGGTAGGTACGATTTGAGGTTTTCATGGCGGTGCGTCCGAAGATGGTTGTCTTCTGGGTTGTAGCGACGTGTAGTCTGGTAGACGTTTACAGATGTTTCAGTCCTGATGATGGAGACAGGAAGAACCTCTGAAACGTCGGTAACCATCTACGGCTCCACAACCCAGAAGACAGCCATCTTCGTCTTCCGGGATGTTGCGTCGTGTGGTCTGGTAGAAACTGACAAGACGTTTCAGAGGTCCTTGATGCCCCCAACATCCGAGATGGTAGTCATCTTGTAACGTCATTCATTCATTCATTCATTCATATCAAGAAAAGGCTCACCGTACAGTTAGTGGGAGAATGTATAACTTGTCAAAAGATTTGTTTGACAAACATTTGCAGGTGGCGTTCAAGCACCAAGTGCTGTCTGATACGTCTCCTTTAAGTTTCGTCGAGACGCGTCAAACAAGTGCTGGCAGAAATGATCAGATTTAATTAAACGGAGGGCGGTTACGATTATCACGCACGCACAATTCGTAAATCTGAGACAAACAATGAGCTCGGGACTACGCATCACATCCCCTGTGGACCGCAACTCGAATTTCCGGGGGGATTGGGGGGGGGCGAGAGAACAGCCGAACCCACCACAGGTACGAAACAGCACAAACAGCGGAATGTGCAAAGAGAATCCTGATACAGCGTGTGGTAGCTGTCATCAATGAACGTGAACAGCAAAGTCGTCACAGGAGTCAGATAGGCAAAATGAAACTCATGGCCGATCGATGGGTCATCGTACTGCCAGGGGACAGCCACGGCTATACAGTGGGACACTCGGCCGGTGAAGTTTGGCATTCTGAGACGCGAAATAACGACGAGAAAATAAAAACTCCATAGGAAAATAAAAAAGTTCTAGAACGAATGTAACAGGTGTGATACGACGCTCGAAATGTACCAGCAGAATGACGTCCGACTTGTGTCTTCAGGGGTTCCACCTACCTACCGACTGCTTCACAGAACCGAAGACGGACACAAGACAACTACAGCTGTTTTTGTTTACGACACTGTAATCATTCTAAAATGTTACCTTCGGAAGACCTGAAGACAAACAGCTTTTGTTCCCACAGTTAAAATTAACATCTACCAGCAAACGGAGGTAAAAACAGATGAAAATTGTACTTTGCAGTGATGGCGCAAAATGGTAGCGTCTTTCTGAAATGCCCTATACTAATGCCAAAGTTAAATCAATGTTTACAAAGCTGGAATGAAATAATACAAATAATTTGCAATAAGCTAACAGCAAACTGAAATTGTCACTGGGTTTATGTAATGTTATTTTGGGGCCTGAAGCTAGTAACTTTAATTTAAATAACCATTACTATACATAAAGTTCAAATAAATTTTAAAAACGTCTAAAAAAAATGTTCCATTGAACAAAACGCTAATCGGCCTATAGGTACATATCCCAGCAGAAATAAAACGGTCCCTATTTAGGTGTGCAACATTAATTTGAAAATCGAGACCTTCTTTAACTCTTTCAAGTATAGTGGTACTTATGTGTACCACGTGCTTTAAAATTTAGCAATCCTGCCTTCTGCATATAGAGTTGTGGGTTTCGTATTATCCTTAGAATGTACAGCGG